ACACTATTATATTATACAGAGTTATCTAGACATAAACTATTTATAACTCAATTAAATTAATCATCTTCACATAAACAAAAATAATTTGATTTTGACATATAACATGTGAATCATACCCTATTTGCATTTATCATCTCGTGCCAAACTAAGAAATTTAATACATTATATTATACTATATTATATAATCATACCCTATTTCCATTTATAAATGTTTTTAAAATTGTCAAAAACGAAAAACATATGTTGAATTTTCTAGAATTTAGGAGAATTTATTAAATTAATTTGTAAACTAAAGTCGTAATATGAGTAAATTATTTTTAGAAATTTAATTTTTTTCTTTTGTTTTTTTTTTTTTTTACGTATATATTTAGTAAAGCACTAAAACATATGATAAGCATTTTAAATTATATATTTAGTCACATCAAAATTTGAACAAAAAAATTTAAAAACCATATCATCATGCATGACACTAGATTAATTATTTAATCAACTGAGTAATTGAATAAACTAAAGATAATTAAATTATTTAATTTCTTGATGTTGAAAAATCGCCGAAAAACGAAAGCAATTGATTTTGACAAACAGCACATGAAAAACACTGAGTTTAAATTATTAATTCCACGTGAATCCATTTTTTTATGTCATACAGCGACATATGTTTATTTATAATTAATATTTTTTTTTTCTCTTCAAATTTTATAATGATTTATTTTTTGTTTAGAATAATTCTTTGTTTTTGAAAAAAAAAAAAAGCCGTACTTTTTTTTTTAAATAACTATAAAATTGGTAATCTTGCATAATATATATATATATTGGAATAAATGTATATAATAATCAAATTTAACTACAATAATAGGATAACATTATCTAGATTATAATTTAATTGACAATAATAAGGTGGATAGTCATTTGATCCCAATAAACTATGTAAATCGCAAGATAAGGTAAATCATAAATATGGTATATGACGGTAAAAATTGAATAGATAACCTTTTTGGTAATCTAAAGTTTTGGACCACGGATAAAAAATTTATAATTTAAAATCGGTATGAGATAGTGTTATCTTGAGATAAACGTATCCTGATAACATAATAAAATCTTCAATTAAGAGAATTAATGGAATTAAAATTTGTGGGCATTTGGCTATTTTTCAATTGATTGAACAAATAAATTTGTGGCCACATGTTTAGATCTGGAACATTCTTTTAGAACAGGTAAAATAAAACCTGCCAGTCAAATGTCACATGCCTGACCCAAATGGGAAAATGGGTCGGTTTGTTGTTTTTCTTTTTAATTAATATTTTATTATTTGTCAAATGCTAACCTAACCTTTCTTTTAACATTTTGTTGATTTCCAAAATAATTATTGGCACGCTATTAATTACATCTAATTACGTAAAAATAAAATGTTTATAAAAAGATAAAAAAAAAAACACACACACACACACATATTTCAATGCTTTCATATAACTATTTTTTGTTGGTCAGTGATCTTAACACATGGTTTAAGATAATATATTAAGACAACACATTTAAAAAAAAAGAGGGGGGTGTTTAAGTAGTTTTTTAAAGTTGAGGGGGTAAATAATATAAATATTTTGTAGGGTACTGTAATGTCTAATGACCTGGAATCAAATAATGTGAGATATTTAACATGCAAAGAAGCAATTGGTTGTCTAGAATCAAACATGTTTAGATCTAATGACAAATCAATGATGTAACTTTACATTGACTTATTCTACTTGAGATAATATTTTATAATTAGAATCATGGATTGAAACATAATACATACAAAACATGTACATTCGTATATTTTTGTATGCTACTATTTAATTTAATATATTATAGATAATAAAACATTGTCTTATATGATTGTAACATTGTTACTTTAGCCAAAATTTGGTACCAATAACTATTAACCATGTAGGTTAGCATTTTGCCGTGTTAGAAGTCGAATGGTTAAACTAAATAGTATACATAAAACTAATAGTTTAACTGTAAGCATAGAGCTAATAGTTTAAGGAAATAAGGTTGGTTTTTTGTTAGCAGTTATAATTTTTGGTCTAATGTTAAACGTTTCATCTTAAGAAATAATATTAAAGCCAGAGTAGTGATAGAGTTCAAAAGGTCGAGTCATAAGGGTTGCTTGTTTACGAATAGCTATAGTTTTCGACCTACTAATAACACATCTAATCCTAACGATAACATCATTGTATTATAGTAAATTCTTAGAGTTGAAGGTAAACTTGTTGTTTAGTGATTCTTAAAACCGGCTAATCTTTTAGATTTTTAAAACAAACCCTAGGGGGTTTATGCAAAATTTCCCCACTATAACTATGAAAAACTTCATCATATAATTTTGAAGATCTAAACCATTGATATATAAAAACAATTGATGTGTACTTCCAAATGCAAAGGAAAACAAGAATTTGGAAAGAATCCCATGAAAAATAAATTATGATAGTTTGCATAGTTTGGTTTCATATGTTTTGATTCACATCTTCTCTATAGAATATACACATGGACCATTTTGTGGTCCTTGCATACATGTATAAAGAAATATTTGCAAATTTGCAATATTCTAAGATTAAGAAAGTTGCTTTCATACTTGTTCATATTTTTTATTTTTCACAAATATTATATGGTCTCTTCGTTTTCCTTTTGAATTTTATGCGTTTCCTTACAGTATCAAGCCGCTGTTTAGTAGAGTTGGTGTCGATTTGGTTAGACTTATTTACTAGTTAAAGAACTTTTCTAATATCAAGAGCTCTTCTCAAAAAAATTTGTATTATTATTATTATTATTTTTTGCTAATCAAGGTACCAAGGCCAGCTTGCGCATACCTTAAATAATTTTCAAGGTCAATGAATACACTACAAACCCAAAGGACCAGGTAAACCATAATTTATTGTGATAGATAATCTCAAAATTTGAATCCAGGAATTCAAAGAAGAGAGCAAACCTTCTTAACCAGTAGGCCAACCCCTTGAGATTGAAAAAAAATTGTATTATTATTTGATTGCAATTCAAAAAAAGACTAGGTTAAATCACTTTTTGGAAAGATAGATATCACATGATTTTCAAAACAAAAAGAAAAGATCACTGCAAGTGCTTTCATGAACATAAAAAGCAACTTTCTCAATTTCAATCAAAACATTGCAATAAGAACATAGGAAATATTTAAGTGTTTTTAACTATTTGAAAACAGTTTCTACAAAACAAAAAACACTTTCTGTCAAACAAAAAACACTTTCAAACACATTATTATTACAGCCCACTTTTAATTTGGTCCTCAACTTTCAACCCAATAAAGGGGGCTAAGAAAGAAGTTAGCTTACCTACTTTTCTTAGTTAAATTCAATTTTTTTTTTTTTTTTTTTTTTTTTTTTTTTTTTTTTTTTTTTTTTTTTTTTTTGACTATGAATCAAATGGAATCACTTTTTTGACATTTTGTGGGTGATGTGAACATTGTTTTTCCCATGAATTTGAATTGTTTTTTAATAAAACCATTGAATTTTTATTTTATTTTTTCATTCTCAAAAGAATCATGTTGTATTTTTTAAGTAGACTAAAGAGGGTAGGAGGTTTAATTTTCAAGAGATAAAAAAAGTGAGAGAAGTCTAGTTTGGAGGCTTTATTTAATTAATTTAACATTCATAGAAGTCTCTCTTGTTGCCATATTTATATTTATGAAATTTTAATACAAATCTTACTATATGCATAAATAATTCACTATATAATTATAAAGTTTTTAATAATGATTATATATATATCGAAAGCATTTTTAAACTTCAAAAATACATAATCTTTTTTTCCTTTTAGTTGATTCTTTCCAATTTTCACGTAGAACTCAAAACAAATTCATAAATGAAGGGTTTAAACTTTAAAATACTCTTTTTAAGTATGAAGTGTTTGCATATTTTTTGTTCAGGTTTTACAATTACATGAGAGATAATTTATACATATATAAGTCCCTATGATTTACTTGGGGATCTATGACAGTGAGTTGTTGTGGGATAACTCCCCTTGAGGATTAGTTGAGATATACGTAAGTTTGTTTGGATGCTTCAATTATTAAAAAAAAAAAAAAAAATTATCCATATAGAGTGAATCTCTTATCTTAAATGTACCCATTTCACCATTTGTAAACTCTTATCTGAAAAAGAACCTTAGTGGTGTACTCCCAAAGAGAGGGGGTGTATATAGCATTCTTGTAATCCACTACAGAAAGCCCAAGTAGATAGAGCCTAAAGAATCAGCTTCTCCCATCCAAATCTTAATTCTTAAAACTGAAGCCTAAACGTAAAAATCAAAAATACCTCTTAAAAAATTATCAATGGAGCATTTCACAACGCCAGATTGTCTAGATTTTGCAGTAAATTATCAATGGAGCATTTCAAAAATCAAAGAACAAAGAGTAATATAGAATTACGTATGGGTGTTTCTGTATTAAAGTTCACTGCTCGCTCTCTTTCTATTTTCAAATAATGACACCAATCAATTGTATATACAAGGAGATTATAAAATTATCCAAAAATTGCTAGTAACGAAATAATTATAATCTACTTTCAAATTTGATCATATTATATGTTACTAATTAGTAACGATACCATAACGATATTTTAGTACATAATATTTGACGTTGATCAATAATATATTAAATTTTAATATTGATACTAGCTATATCTAATTAAATGATATTGACATAGTAAACAGTGTGGGTTTGCACAAATTTGAGGATTTATATGTTATAATAATTAGTAACATATAATCTAGTAGATAAAGGCCCAATAAGTAGTAATCTTATCAATGTTTAGTAAAGGCCCAATAATTAAAAAGATTTACTGATACTATCTAACACTAAAGATAAAAAGAAAAAAAAAACACAATTTATTGACATCATCTACTGTAACACTAAAGACAAAAATTCCGTCTAGATCTTCTGCATGCTAGGTAGCTGAACCATGTTAAGTAACTTTTGTTTCCTCGCCTCGTCTTTGTCAACGTTTCACTATTGCAACTAAGACTGACACAAGGAAGAAGAGGCCTAAGCAAATACATGGAATGGCACCACCAAGCCCTACAGAGGGTGGCAAAACAGCAAGAATGCCAAAAACGAAAGCCAACACCATTGCTAGCATGGCAAACTCGGTAAGGTAATATGAAATCACGAAGAGAGACCCTAAGTTTTGGCTTAACGCCATGACAAAGTGAATAAAGACAGCAGAAACAGAGAGGCTCATGGCGATGGAATCCGCTATAATAAATGATTGAAAATGATAGTTTCTACTTAGGATTGCAGTACCTTGATCCTGTCCTTTTTCGCTTTGGTAACCACCAGGCATGGTGAAAGCTGCCGCGAAGGTTACTGTTGCTATGAGCGCAGCCACTACCAAATGCGGTTCTCTTGCTTTCTCCATTCCAAGTATATCTTCACTGAGGGGTTCTCCTACATTTTCACTAATGGGTTCTCTGCTACTACAGATAACACCTCTTGGACGTTGTCCATTGCAAACCTCTTGGGTCAATGCTTGAATTTCTTGCTGTTTTGGATGAGTAAATCAATGAAAAAAAAAAAAAAAACAATAAGTAATTAAATTAATTAAATCAATGAAAATGACAATTTCAAGTCACAACATTGCATTTGCATACATATATATTAACGAAAATCCTCAAATGCATACCATCACATTTTCTCATATATAATCCAGTTTTCTTTTTACCAGTGTACCAGTAGAAAAATGTGGACATTTGTTTTAGAGAATGATTCTATGTACTAATACTAAGTGAAGATGCGGGCTATTACCTCAAGCTCTGGAAAGCCATAGCTTAATATATGTTCGACACTAATATTTTGCCTGTTGATAACCTGAAGGTTGCTTTTATGCTTCAAGTTGGTACTGCGGAACTCGAATGAATTATATCGTTTTGAAGCTGCAAGAACATGGAGTGGAGTGGAGTGTTCCCCTTGGCATCCTTCTGATGTATAAGACTCCTAACTAGTGGATTTTCTAGGAGAACATCCACATCTTTTTCATTTATACTCACCATAGCAAAGTGAAGGAAATTCCAACCTCTAGCATCCACCAGTTCATAACATTGTGGAGAATGAAAAAGAATTTTTTCTATTACCTTTAGACTCCCTTGACTGCTCGCCACATGAAGAGGTGTCATTTTACGATCCTTGTCAGTTATGAATGCAGCGGATTCGTCAAATTCTAATAAGAATTCTGCACCGAGAGGAAGATCGTAATATGCAGCATAATGAAGTGGAGTCCACCCATATTGGTCTGTTTCTTTTGTCAAATACTTCTTTTTCTCGAGTATTTCTCTCGTGGCCTCTGAGACAAAAAAGACAACAACAAACTAAATAAATAACAAATAATGTTATACATCCCAATTTGTTATTTATATTTTTGGTACCCGGAACCGAACACCCCTATTTTTGGTTCCACCTTGAGGGAGCTACCCATTTGGCTATATATATATTTCTTGTCATGGGTTTTTTGTTTTTTATATATATTTTTATAGAAAGTTTTAATAATTTTAAAGAGAGTTTTTGATAATTAAATGAATCTCTTGTAGGGTTTTGCAATAGTTTTAAGAAATACTCGATGTCAAATAAATTAAATGTACATTTTAACGGTAGTCTCTTGCATAGTTTCATATTTTTAATTTTGTATTCAATGTTACTAGTACAATAGATGATATATATTATAAGTTTCACGTTATACATCGTGGATATTTATCTACTTATTAAACTTTTGAAATTGAAATCTGATAAATTTGTTGGGCCACTAAGAAAGAGAAGGCACCATATGTCAGTGTTTTATTTCATATTATTTTTCTTGATTTTTCTATATGATTCTATCGATTATATTTCTTAAAGTATGATAAAAATTATCTTGAAATTTTTAACGTTTTTTGTATTTTATTAACCAAATAATTAATTCGTTAATTCATACTTAAAATTATATATATATTTTTTGGGGAGTGTTGTTTATGTGAATCCATATCCATATTGTTGGGTGTCTTGAAGGAGCAAGAACTTGATACCATGATTTTGTTATCAAAAATATAATAATAATTGCACATGTGACATGTGCATGCCATCAAAATAATTTCATAAAAGTAATAAAAACAAATCTCTTTTGATTAATTAAACAATTAAATAAGTTAATATAATAATACAAACTAATCTCATTAATCCTAGTATTAATTAATAATTAAATGAAGAGACAAATCATAGTATGTTTCCCTTAGAAAGTTCCCCAATTTCGGATGAAGATTCTCTTGTGATTTGATTATAATTTTTTATTTACTTTAAATATAAGATTATGACCATGATTATTGATTATGTAAATATTATTATATACCTTTGTGCAGTCGACTCATTTTAATTGTATCCATGATTATTTTTTAATATATCTTCTTAGGAGGTTTACATCACTAGTCGAGCAGTAGCACTGTCGACTACCAAAAAAATTAGTTTGTTAGGTGATACTGTCTGTTTATTCTTATAAGATCGAGACCTAATATATTTTTATCCAATATACCATTATAACAATTTTTAATACTTTTTGAAAACAATAACCGTGTACGATGTTAAACAATCAGTGGATTTCTAATAAGTAGCACACACGTGTTTAATTAGCTAGAGTTTTGATTAATTATGATTTTGATTTTGATGTAAACCAAACTTAATTTTTAATTTATTCTTTGAATATGATTATCACCGAAAAGATGATAATAATTAGTTTCACTATTATATGATACCTAAAATTAAATAGTATACTTTGTTTTGCTTTATTATAAAGCAATGAATTATTTTTATCATTATGTTTAAATTATATTAAGCAAGCTGCAAATATTCCGCCACCTTGCATGTGGATTCATTATTTAAAATTTTAAATATTTTTTTTAAATTAATATTATTTCGCAACATGTAAAATCAATAATTTTAAATTAATTCCTTGCTTAAACAATAGGAGATTATATTTTTAATTACATGAATATAAATCGGTTAATTAATTAATTCCTTTTGACTTTAATTAAAGTAATCCTTTTTTTTTAAAATGAGTTGAGTCAATATATTAGAACTATTAGTATTTTATAAAATTAATTTTTAATAAAATATATTTAAAATTTTAAAATTAACTTATAGAACCCATAAATTGATTTATTAATTATATATATATTGAAAATTTATGAGAAAAGTGAATTATAAAAAGTATTGAATAAGTATGTCATTTTGTGGTAAATTTATTCAGAATTCTAAGGAATCCTTAAATTATATTGAGTAAAATTTTGATTCTTTAATTTTTAAATAGTCAATTACTTATAAGTATTGAGTATGAGCAGATAGGTTTCAATTTCTTAAAGAGAAACTGACTGTTTTGTCTTCCTTACCTAAAGAAGAAGTTACAGCTGATCAGAGTTGAGTTGTTTGCTGATTTTTTTTTTGTTAAACCTAAAGAAGAAGTTACAGAGCTAACTATTTTTGGTCCCTTTTTTATATAATTTCAAACTTGTGTCTCTTTCAGTAAATTTATGAGACAGTTGTCCAACAAATTGATGGTAACCCATAAAGATAGATCTATTAGCTAAATATAAAATAAAATTAATTATAAATTTTAAGGGCATCTGGAAAAGGTATATGAGTAAAGAATATATTCAACATGTAATATAATAATAAAAATTATTTAAAGATGATTGGCCAATTATGACTCCTATTCTTTTTTTTCCAAATGTTGAAGGCATCAAACATTACACTTCCTTTATAAATTATAGTATAAATAATAATTTAATATATATATATAGAGAGAGAGAGAGAGAGAAAGTGACGGGTCTAAAAATTTTTGTTAGAGTGGATCAAAATAAAAATTAATTATACATAAACATTTTTATCCATTAATATTTTTGTTAGAGTAGACCAAAATCTAAAAATTATATATATTAGTATTTAAAAAAAAAAAAATTGGGAGTGGGTCATGGCCACCCGAAAAGCGGCTGAATCCGCATATATATATATATACAACTAAGAATTTCCATACAAAATTGAGATCCTAACTTTCCAACTTTATGTACGTGACATCAATATTTTTTTTGATCAATATTTTTTATAATGAAAATGTCAAGTCTTGACAACGAGAATAGTGGAATACACTACGGTTGCATTTGGTTTGAGGTGATATAAGATTAATTATATAAAATTTTTTTAATTTTCAAGATTCTATCATTTAATTATCAAGTAATAAAATATTACGTAATATTTTATTATAAATAATGTTTACTGTTGGTAATATTAAAGGTAATCAAATTACCTTCTCAAACTTGTGTCTCTTTCAGTAAATTTACGAGACAGTTGTCCAACAAATTGATGGTAACCCATAAAGATAGGTCTAGAAATATAAAATATTTATACACATCTATTTAATTTTTAAATTAAAATATTTATCACGGTGTCATGGAAAACAAAATTTCTGTTTCTATTAGCTAAATAAAAATAATATTAATTATAAATTTTAAGGGCATCTGGAAAAGGTATATGAGTAAAGAATATATTCAACATATATGTAATATAATAATAAAAATTATTTAAAGATGATTGGCCAATTATGACTCCTATTCTTTTTTTTCCAAATGTTGAAGGCATCAAACATTACACTTTATAAATTATAGTATAAATAATAATTTAATATATATAGAGAGAGAGAGAGAGAAAGTGACGGATTCAAAAATTTCTGTTAGAGTGGGTCAAAATAAAAATTAATTATAAAAACATTTTTATCTATTAATATTTTTGTTAGAGTGGACCAAAATCTAAAAATTATATATATTAGTATTTAAAAAAAAAAATGGAAGTGGGTCAGGCCACTCGAAATATATATATATATAATATATATTATAATATAATATATATTATATATATATAATATATATATATATATATATATATATAATATTATATAATATATATTATATATATATGTGTGTGTGTGTGTTTTTGTGTATAGCCTTACGTCATTTTTGTTTTTTTGTCATGAACCTTCAAAATTGTGGTCCCAATTTTTTCAAAGAGCATTATCATTAAATGTCCTTTCTCTTCTGAACGTCTTGGGCTCCGTTTGGTTCAAATTTTGTGTTTTTGAGAAAGGTTTTTTAAAAAAAGTTAGAAAAAAGTTAAATTGGGCGGGTATTACGATGTAGGATTTATAAATTGAGAAAATACCCCCTATGTTTGTTTTTTTACAAAACACTCCTTATAATAAAACATTAAAAGTTAACAAAAAACCCCTCAATCCCCCCTCAAATACGGACAGCCCCACCACCGCCGGAGGGTGGCCGGTCGCCATAAACAAAAACATTAAAAATATTTAGGGGTATTTAATTGAATTAACAAATTTAGGGGGTTTAAAAAATGTTGAATAAAGTTGAATAATATTGTGAGTTTTTGGGTATTTTACTGTTTAACTTTTTTGGGAATACTAAAAGTAGTATTCCCAAAATCCAACCAAACGAAGCCTTGATATTTTAAATTTGAGATCTTAATTTATTTTCATAATTAATTTGGCAACAACGCCTAATTATAGAAAGATTACATCGGTAAAATAATTAGCCAAATTAGTTACAACCAAGAATTTTCATACAAAATTGAGATCCTAACTTTCCAACTTTGTGTACGTGACATCAATATATTTTTTGATAAATATTTTTTATAATGAAAATGTCAAGTCTTGACAACGAGAATAGTGGAATACACTACGGTTGCATTTGGTTTGAGGTGATATAAGATTAATTATATAAAATTTGTTTAATTTTCAAGATTCTATCGTTTGATTATCAAGTAATAAAATATTACGTAATATTTTATTGCAAATAGTGTTTACTGTTGGTAATATTAAAGGTAATCAAATTACCTTCTCAATGAGTGTTAATATAAGATTACTGAAGTAATTTTAATTTTGACCATATTGTGCCCTTAATCTTTTATCATTTCAGACATATTTACCCTCATATGTCTACAAAATAACAATTACCCAAACCTCCTATATTTGAAAATATAGCTAAGACAGCCTAGCCATAAAAAAACTTAAAAATTAATAAAATACCCCTAAGCACCCAAGACCACTGCCGGCCGCTAGCCACCGCCACTGGTCACCGGCGAAAGTTGTCATATCGAGGCAAGACCAACAGGATCCTGCTAGTCGTGTGCCGGTAAAGACGTTTCTAGCCATGTATTACAAATCCATGGCCAGAAACGACCAGATCTGGTTGTTTCACAGCCAAAGATGTGGCTGTGAAACGCCATAAATCTGGACGTGAAATGGCCGCCATTTCACGGTCACTAGATCTATGGCCTTTTCACTGCCATATTCACAGCTAGATCTAGCCCTTTTTTGGCATTGATCTTTGATCTATGGCTGGATTAGGCCTTACCGGCGCACAACCAGCTAGATCTAATCAGTCGTGC